TTTCTTTAGTCCCTACTGGAGCTGCACAAGAGGAGGAAAGCTGTGACTGAACCAGAAGCTCGCTATTATCTCCGACAGACCATCCTGGGCTGCCAGTATCTGCACAGCAACAAAGTCATCCATAGAGATCTCAAACTTGGAAACCTTTTCCTCAATGATGACATGGATGTGAAAATAGGTAGGCATGCTTTGTGGGGACCTAATGTGGTGAAAAATTGGTATCTCTCCTTTTATTTCTTGACTTTGACCTATATTGGTGGTAGGGAATCAAGATTTCCCTATTACGCCATGCAGTCTTCTTCAACCTTTCTGCTTCTGAAGAATGAATGACCATGGGGAGGTTCTGATAAATTCACTAGGTGTCCATAGAAGCTGCAGTCCTTTAGTCCATGTGATTAACGGCTTTTAGTGATGTTTGTTACCCCTTTGTTCTGGAAGGTACTGTAGGCCAGGGGTCTCCAGACTTCTCAAACATAGAGCAGTTTACTGTCCTTCAGACTTTAGGGGGGCTGGACTGTGGCCAGTTGAAGTAGAAAATGCCCTGGCGTCAATGCCCCATCATTGGTGGTAATGGAATAGTGTCCCATTGTTAATGAAAAGAATGGTCCCCCATTGATGTCAGTCGGGGGAATGGTGCTCCATCATTGGTATCAGTTGGTGGAATCGTACCACAGGGGTCATATAAGGGCAACATCTGGTCCCCGGGCTGCAATGTTGGAGACCCCTGCTTTAGGCACTTCAATCTTCCAGTTTCTTATCTACCTGCAAAATGAGGTGATTTGATAGCCCGGACCAAGGTTTGGTTTTCACTTGGCAGACAGGCTTTAGCTCCAAAGTGCCTGCCACAGCACTGACTGAGTTCAAATCAAGGCTTCTTTTATGCTTTGCCTAAACCCTTCCTTGGATGCAGCTCGGGCCAAAGTGGCCAAGTCTCCAGACCTGAACACTCACATGAGAGCGGGGAGGACGTTGTTGGCTCTGTGTAAGCTCCTATGCTAGCTGACACAGCTTTAACAAGGCTTGAACCTGTAGCTCCAGCAGTGGAGTAGTGCAGAATCAGTGAGTGGTGGTTTGAATGGGCAAGCGACAGTCCCTTTGGCAACATTATCAGTTTCTTGTATACTCTTTAAACTTTCAGGTGATTTTGGGCTTGCCACAAAAGTGGAATTTGATGGGGAGAGGAAGAAAACCCTGTGTGGGACACCCAACTACATTGCACCAGAAGTGTTGGGCAAGAAGGGCCACAGTTTTGAAGTTGACATCTGGTCTATAGGATGTATAATGTAAGTACCAGTTGTATTATAAAGTGGAATTAAAAATGTACATTTTTATCACTACAAAACAGCTGTTGGCATAATGTAGTATAAAAGAACAAAACTTTTGCTTTCTGGAGAAATTTGGAATCTCATGTCAAACATGGGGAATAGATGTTGCTTGAGTCCATAAGATTTATAAGTTACAACCTTTGTGTTGCCTAATTGGAGTAGGGTAATAGGTTCCTTATTGATAGTCACAACAAGCTTCTGTGCTTCCCTTCCCCACATCTGGAGAATTGGCCCTGGTACAGGTCTGACACTCCTGAAAGGATAGATATACAGTCAGGTCCATAAATATTGGGACATCGACACAATTCTAACATATTTGGCTCTATACACCACCACAATGGATTGAAATGAAACTAACAAGATGTGCTTTAACTGCAAACTGTCAGATTTAATTTGAGGGTATTTACATCAGGGTGGATTTGATTTAAATCAAACTGATTTAAATCACTATTCAGTAAGGCTTGATTTAAATCCTAGTTTTCTACATAAAGACTAATTCTTGCTGGTATAACTTTAATATGCAAGTAGATGAAGATTTTTAGAATAACAACTTTTTCATATTAGTCTTTTTATCCCCAATTTAATAGGTTAATCATTCGTATTTGGACAACTTTTCTGTTGTACTTAGGAAGGAGAAAAATAATCATTACCTTAATAATAATTTAAATAGATTTATTCAACTGAAACAATAACATTCCAGCATATGTGATTTGCTTAAACATCCATGTTTGTTAACTAATTTGGCTAAACAAAATATATATATTTTAAGAAACTTAGACTGTCAGCCCCTTCCTCCTCACACTTGGTTTCACTTTCTTCTTGTGCAGATCTATTCCACTCCAAACAATCAGAAAAATATTGTTTCGATTCTATTCACTGAACTTCTTGAAACTTAGCACTGAAGGGGTTGATTCTGTATTCATAGGTTTGTAGAAGTTAGGATGAAGGTCTTTTTCTTAACTCTGTTCATGTTATAACATTTTTGCTGTGAAGAAGAGGCATGTGATCTCCGCTGAGTCAAATTCAGTTTTGAGAACTGCAAAGTAAACCAATCATCTGTGATAATATCTTGTAGGCAGAGAAACTGCCCAATAATCTTACAGAAACCTCTGGAAGAGCATGATATTGTGAATGGATTCATGGAATTTATTTACCAAAAAAATTAAACATATACAGTCTTATTCTACATAATTAAAAAACGAATCTTTATTTCATGTGGGAATAACCTTTTGGATGGTAATATATTTTCCTCAAAAAGCATTTTATTTAAAAAGAAAATCGGATTTAAATCAAAAATTTATTTTGGTGGTGTTTTTTTTTTTTTTTTTTATCCATCCTGATTTACACCCAAATCAGGTTATTCACCTGATTTGGATGTAAATGGCTTTTGTCAGCAGTCACATCAATAAATACAAGAGAACCAGTTCCATTGGCAGCCATACATGCCCACGCCATGACACTACCACCACCATGCTTCACTGATGAGGTGGTATGCTTAGGATCATGAGCAGTTCCTTTCCTTCTCCATACTCTTCTCATCACTCTGGTACAAGTTGATCTTGGTCTCATCTGTCCATAGGATGTTGTTCCAGAACTGTGAAGGCTTTTTTAGATGTCGTTTGGCAAACTCTAATCTGGCCTTCCTGTTTTTGGTTTCCATCTTGTGGTGAACCCTCTGTATTCACTCTGGTGAAGTCATCTCTTGATTGTTGACTTTGACACACATACACCTACCTCCTGGAGAGTGTTCTTGATCTGGCCAACTGTTGTGAAGGGTGTTTTCTTCACCAGGGAAAGAATTCTTCGGTCATCCACCACAGTTGTTTTCCATGGGTCCTTTGGTGTTGCTGAGCTCACCGGTGCATTCCTTCTTTTTAAGAATGCTCCAAACAGTTGTTTTGGCCACGCCTAATGTTTTTGCTATCTCTCTGATGGGTTTGTTTTGTTTTTTTCAGCCTAATGATGGCTTGCTTCACTGATGGCGACAGCTCTTTGGATCTCATCTTGAGAGTTGACAGCAACAGATTCCAAATGCAAATAGCACACTTGAAATGAACTCTGGACCTTTTATCTGCTCATTGTAATTGGGGTAATGAGGGAATAACGCACACCTGGCCACGGAACAGCTGAGAAGCCAATTGTCCCATTCCTTTTGGTCCCTTAACAAGTGGGAGGCACGTATGCAAACTGTTGTAATTCCTATACCGTTCACCTGATTTGGATGTAAATACCCTTAAATTAAAGCTGACAGTCTGCAGTTAAAGCACATCTTGTTCGTTTCATTTCAAATCTATTGTGGTGGTGTATAGAGCCAAAAATGTTAGAATTGTGTAGATGTCCCAATATTTATGGACCTGACTGTACACACCCTTTTACTGGTAAAAGTGCATTTATTTTACCTTTTTACTAGGAACCTACAACGTATTGCACCTGTGATCAGTAGATCGTGGGTGCATTGCAGGACTCCTGCCGACTGTCATTGTAAGCTGTCTGCTTGTGCAGGCAGTTGCACTCTGACTGCTTGTAGTTTTCTATTAACTGCCATGGTGCTGCTGAGTTCTCTAGGTAGTTTCATTGAAGATTCCTGACGGCTGCAAAGGCTGTTAGTACTTGTAGTTCTCCCTTTCACAGATCTGTCAAATGACATCACGTGTCATTCATTTAGAGTGAGTTTGGGGAGAAGATGCTTCTGGTTCCTGTCAATCAAATCCAGTGATGGGGGACATGGCACAGCCCCACTGCATCTATTGAGACAGACAGGGAGGCTCTGGAGCACACAAGTGCACCCATGGAAATCTGCTTTCCACAGGGCAGGATAGAAGGCGCAGCCAGGAGTGCTGACGGGACTTAAGAGGAGGCTTTTTTTTTTTTTTTTTTTTTTTTTTTTTTTTTAAATTGCTTTAATCTCCACTTCTGAGTGATGTAACATAAGCTGTGCATTGCTCGTATGAGGCAGATGTGGTTTCTGGGGTTTACTGTAGACTTTAAGGGGGGGGCAAAGAACAATAAGCACAGGGTTTCCTATGATGCCTGTTCTATAAAGCGAAGTTGTTACTATAGACACAGGTTCACTTTATTCTAGATGTCTTATAACCACCCAATTCAGAAAATGAAGTGAAATGAATAAAAGACTGCACTTGCAGTTTTTAAAGCTCAACTCCAGAAATTCAGCCACTTAGTAAACTGGAAATTTAGATAAAGTCCACAAGGTGGCATGCACCTCGAGCATAGCCCATGGTAATTCGGCACATTTTACAAAGTGCTGGGAGCATAGCTAACACTATACTTCAATGCTGGACCTTCTGGTCTCGGCTTCTGCAGCTGTAGAATGGCATGCAGATTCTGTGCCGACTATGTTCCTCTTCTTGCTCGATCTGAGCGCTTTGTATAATGTGAACAAATTCACAGAATACAAAACCACCTATGACTGGCAGCAGTTCTGCCTTTTCACAGCTGTTCCCACCTGCATTGTAGAGTGCCAGGAGTAGTGATGGCTGTACTTCGGCACTCAGTAAAACTGCCACTTGTAAATAAGTCCGTGAGGTGGCATGCACAACATTGAACGTAACTCATAGTAAGTCAGCAGATTGTACAAAGTGAGTTCCTGAAGTTGAGCTTAAACAGTGCAGATAGAAAAATCTGTAGTTTCTAGCTTTTTTGCTCTTATTCTTTAGGTACACGCTATTGGTTGGGAAGCCCCCCTTTGAGACGTCATGCCTTAAAGAAACCTATATAAGGATCAAGAAGAACGAGTACTCCATTCCCAAGGTGAGCTTAAACAATGGGACAGATGGGTTGGCATGGTTATTTGAGATGCCTGGTGCACAAACCTTCCCTTTATTTTAAACTGTGGCTTCTCTAGTTTCATTGCAAGCTAAAGATAAAGCAGCATGAAACAAAAAGGTAAACCTTTTTATTATGCTGCTTACCAATTCCTAGAGGCAGTGGCTGTGGGGTTTTTTTTCTCCCCTTCTCCCCCCCCCCAACTTTCTTATATGGAGGCTACAAAAATCAGGGATTGCTGCCTTACAGAACATAATTGAATCTGTTGCTTTGACTGCTGCAAGTTGTTAGTACTTTGCTGATCTGTTATGTGTTCATGTGAGGACCTAGTTGGCTTTCAGGAGAGGTCATGTGACAAAATGCCTAGGCCTTTACTCACATTGCCAACCCTGAATGACCGTACGGAGCAATTCATTTCAATCACATGATTGCTGACCGTAGCTTCTTCTGCCATTTTAACTGCATCCTTTTTTCAGCACATAAACCCTGTAGCGGCAGCTCTCATACAGAGGATGCTCCGTGCCGACCCCACCACCCGACCAACCATAGATGAGTTGTTGAATGACGAGTTTTTCACCAGTGGCTACATCCCCTCCCGCCTTCCCACTACATGCCTGACTGTGCCTCCCCGATTCTCCATTGCACCAAGCTCCATTGATCCAAGCTTTAGAAAACCACTTACTGCAATTAACAAAGGTAAGTCTTTCTAATCACTGCAGTTTGGGAGCCATATTTGGCTCTCCTGGCCTAAACCTTGAGATACCAGTTTATCCTCCCATAAAAGTATACATCCAGAAGGGCATCAATCTTAAACTGTTAGGTGTGTACAATAACCCTATAAAGCCTAGCCAAAGGAAGGCTTTAGATAAAAGGCTTTGTATACCGTATATTTCGCTCCATAAGGCGCACCTAGGTTTTGGAGAAAAACAACAAGAAGAAAAATATTCTGAACCCAGAGGCAGCGGACACCAGTGCAGGGGGTTGACCCAGAGGCAGCGGACACCAGTGCAGGGGGTTGACCCAGAGGCAGCGGACACCAGTGCAGGGGGTTGACCCAGAGGCAGCGGACACCAGTGCAGGGGGTTGACCCAGAGGCTGAATTTGACAGGTACCCACTTCCGCAGAGTTGTCCTCTTTACTGCGGGCACTTGGCTGTGCCGGGTGCACAAGAAGCGCTGCGCTTTGTGAATGGCCCGGCGTCTTCTGGGACCTGTCACATGTCCCAGAAGACTCCGGACCATTCACAAAGCACATCGCTTCTCGTGCACGTGCAGCAACTAAAGTTGCTGGCGCGGGAAGACTGCACAGCGCCGGCCGAGGGACAGGTAAGGTCCTGCTGCAAAAGAGAGCTGAGCAGCTGGCCCAGTATTCTGACACTGGCGGCAGAAATACCAGACTGGCCACTCCATATGACGCACTGACCTTCCCCGCCGCCCCCCCCCCATTTTTGGAGGGGAAAAAAGTGTCTTATGGAGCAAAAAATGCAGTACCTTTCTTTTGTGTGTGTGTGGGGGGGTTTCTGTAAATACTGTTGAACTACTTGTGGCCTGTTATGACTATGGGTACCTCTAATTTTGCACCTTAAGATCTAGAGAAATTTTGGAAGGCAAGCCATTGGTTCCTAAGAGGGTGTGTGGTTTTTGTTTACCCAAGTTCTATTGGGCCCCTTTCACATAATCGGTCCAATAGGGTTTGCCTATCGGGGTTTTTCAGGCAGACCCCTCCATTCACCTTTTATGGATCGGCAGGTGTTTTTGGACTTGTCTTTATACCCAGCAACCTCCAATCCACCTAGACAGAGGGTGTTTGGGTGTAAACGGGCCGCTGGTCCTTTTTACACTGCCTATAGAGCTGGTTATAGAGCTGGTTGTGTCTGCCTCCTCTTCATAAACTGGAGTGGACACAGATCTGCTCTGCTCAGCAGGGGATATACGGACAAATGCCCTTGCTGAGCAACGCTGATTCGTGCTTCTCTTTCACACGCACAGACTCGGACACAGCCTGCTCCAATCTGAGTGGTGTAACCAGACCACCTGTCCTTTATACCCGGCTGGCCTCTGATCCGCTTAGATGAAGGGACTGATCCCCTTACATTTGCTGTGTTTTAAATCAGATTGGAAGTAGATCAGTTTAAAACCCTGAAGTCGGTTTTACACCCGCTGGTCCATATGAAGTTGGTAGCTTGCTAGCCTTTTACTGTCTACGTAGACTGTGCACAAGAAGAGGAATACGGTCACCTGACTTGGTCAGTGGGTAATTTTTGTGTTCTGTCCTAGGCTGGCCATACACGATACAATTTTTCTGCCCAATTTCCTTTAGATTTACCTTCAACTATGTAGTGCAAGAGCCTACCTAATTGGATATTATATGGTTTTTGGTAAATCTAAACCAAAAATCTGAAGAAAATTGTATAATATGACCAGCCCTACTGTTAGTAGGAGAAATGATGCCACAAGGGCCAGATAAATGCAAGCTAAGAACCACCTCTGGCCCACAGGTCCCAGTTTGGGGACAACGTGGTTTTTTTGCTACAGTTTTTAACCACAAATGGGTCTCTTTCAGCATAGACGTTCACCTTAGGAACAAGAATAGCTGAGAAGAGCTCATTTTATTTCCACTGCAGTGTATCTAATGTGTGGTGTTTGCTCCAGGCCAAGATTCTCCATTGGTTGACAAGAATGTACCACCAGTAAAGGATGACGACATGGCTCCACCAGAGCCCACAGAGCCTGCGGATTGTTACCTGTCTGATATGATGGAACAACTGACCAGTGTCAATGCTGCTAAGCCCTCTGAGAAGGCTGTGGTCCACCAGGGTGAGTCTTGATTTCCTTTTTTTTGGGGCACTTGTCTGAACACTAGGACATTACTTTTTATAAAGTGGTCTATTGCAGCCAGTCGGTGTCCAACAGCTTAATTGGAAATCTGACATGCTTTTCAGACACTTAGAATGTTAGTAAACTTGTGTGGGGTTTGTGGTTTTTTTCTTTTTTTTCCTACAGGTAAGCTGATAATACAGCTTACCTGTAGGTAAAACCTGGTATCTCCTACACGTGCACCGATTTAGGAGAGATTCTTTCTTAAAGCCAGTGCATGCACTCTGAAGGAACAGCATACCTGTGTCATTTAGAGCTGTGTACCGCAGCCCAGGACTCCCGCATGCATGCGTGGGAGTGACGTCATCATGGTCCGGCCTGTCAGACAGCCGGAGATCATGAATGCGGAAGGATGACCAGGTGATGATGGAAACCTCTTGCAGCTGTGACAGTGCTGCTGGAGGGCTTCGTTTTAAGGTAAGTTTTAGATAATGTGCTAGTATGCGATGCATACTAGCCCATTATGAGATTACCTTGCAGGGGACTTTTTTTTTTTTTTTTTTTTTTTTTTTTCTCTCCCCTCCTCTTGTGGTTTACTATTGCTTTAAGGACCAATAAAGCCACATGTATGCTTCGTGCGAGTCTAGCCATTAAAGCAGAATTCAGCCACTTAAATAACTTTGAATAAATATAAATAAATGTTTAGACCTTCTATGTGCACCTAATGAGGTGCATGACACCTTGTGGACTTCTCTTAATTTACATCTGACAAGTTAATGGAGCTCTGGAAGGATAGGTATATCCTATATATACAAGGGCCATTCAAGTCAAACCGGGACTTATCATTTTACAGGTATCAAAAAGGGATTCTAGTGTGGCAAGTGTGTCCTATTACTGATGGGATGCACAACTGTTGTGGGCCAGTCCAGAGACCAGTAATCAAGATGGCAAATGGCGTTGGTGCGTACATGGAACAGCGTGTGTTGATCTTTCTTGTGAGCGAGGGTGTAAACCCCGTGGCTATCTACAGAAGATTTGAAGCCCAGTATATTGCTGAGATCTCAGTTACAGGAAGATGCTGTATTTGAATGTTAATGCTTCAAAGATGGCCATATGTCCACTAGTGCTTATCCTATGAACATTCAGCGCATGAAACACTTGATCCTGGAAAGTACACATAACCTGTTGTGAAATTGCTCAAGAGGCTAATCTTTCTCTGCTTCACAAATGACTAAGTGAAGCCGGCTGTCCTAGGATGGTTCAGGCGTACTGACAAATCTTTCTATGCTGAAGCTTTCCAGGCATTAAACGCTGGGATAAGTGTGTAAATGTAGCAGGGGAGTATGTCGAAAAACAAATGCAGTTTCCATTCCTTGAAATTTTTCTTCTTTTAATATCTAAACTCAAAAGTCCCGGTTTGAATTTAACACCTCCCTCTTAGGTTTTGGAGTGCCAATGCTGGACCTTCTGGTCTCTGCTCTTTCAGCTGCAGAGTTGCATGCAGCTGCTGTGCCCACCCCTTCACTTTGTTGGCCATTTACACAACGTGGGAGCCTTAGTATTTTGTGAACTAATTCACAAAATACGTGTGTGTGTGCTCACTCCAAAAGATAAAGAAATGAAACCAGTGCTCCAATCCTCATGCAAACTTGAAAAATATCAGGATGCCCAACAAAGAGGTGCTGCTCTTCAAAGATCAGGAAATCTGACCACTGGTTAAGAACAGACAAGGGTGCATTACTGTGGTATACCACGTGTTTATTGAATAGACAAATGGATGTATACTCACAAACCAATGATATTAAAAGCAGTGTATGTGGTCCACAAAAAGTCGCAAAAGTGCAGTCTTTGATGCGGATAAGCCAACTTGTTTCAGGAGCTGAACCCCCTTCCTCAGAGCCAGAAATAAACCTACTGGCCACAAGCCTATATACCAAAGAAATGTCAAAAGGAGGGTTAAATAGACCCACCCACTTCTAGCAGCCCAATTGCAGAGCAAAAAAAAAACAAAACCAAAACAATCAAGTGGCGTATAATATGTAACGAACAGCAACCTGTATAATGCATAAAATACACACAGGCTACCGCACATGTAATATGCTGGAGGCGCACTTACATTTACCCCCAAGGAGTGACCCTGACACTCGATGGACGGTCACCATCTCAATGAAAACTGCCCCCAATGTGGAACAGCCAGGACGCTGCACAGCAATGGCTGGAAGGCAGTGTACAGACGATGCGGCCGTTGCCCGGTGAACATGTGCAAGACACCATAGGACCACTTTTTACCCTCCTTTTGACATTTCTTTGGTATATAAGCTCCCGAAACGCGTTGTCTTATCCGCATCAAAGACACAGCCCTTTTGCGACTGTTTTTGTGGACCACATACACTGCTTTTTAATATAGTTTGGTTTGTGCGTATACATCCATTTGTCGATTCAATAAACACGTGGTATACCACGATAATGCACAATGAGAGTGCGCCCTTGTCTGTTTTTTTTTTTTTTTTTGTCCCTTCCAGAGCCTTGGAGTGTAGTGTCTGGAACGCCATAAAGCTGTCAGATCTTAATGCGATAAGTCCATGAGGTAGCATGCACTTCATTGGACTTGACTCCTAGTGTGCCTGCACATTTATCATAAAGTGGCTGAATTCCTTGCTTTTTTAGCATGTGCTTTTCTAAATAGTTGTTTTCCAGGTGTAGCAGTAGGACTTGGGTTCTCGAACCTCTTGGCTTCATCTGTGCTTGCACTGATCAGAGGTCATGCTTTTCAGTTTCTCCAAGTATATCATTATGCTCTCAAACTTGCATGGGGCAGAACAATGTGGTTCCTGCTCACAAGTAACAAGAGCAAGGATAGGTGGGTAGATCTGCCTTTTTATTATACATGTATATTGAATTCCCTCTGGATTGGTCCATTCTAATTGACTTATTTGAATTTGTGGTGGGGGACTTTGGAATTGTAGAACCTGATGGCTTAAAGAGTTTGATGTGGTAACACTACAGCGGGGTGCGGCTAAATAATTCTAATATATCCTATAGATGAAGCAGAAGATCCAGCCTGCAATCCAATCTTCTGGGTCAGCAAATGGGTGGATTACTCTGACAAATATGGACTAGGTATGTGTTGGCCTGAACTGCAGTCTGATATATGGCTGTTATCTTACATGGCCACTAAGCTGAAATGTTTTCTCCCCAGGTTACCAGCTGTGTGATAACAGTGTAGGTGTTCTCTTCAATGACTCCACTCGGCTGATAATGTACAATGATGGAGACAGTCTACAGTACATTGAGAGGAATAATACGGAGTCTTACCTCACTGTGCGCTCTTACCCATCGGCACTGACAAAGAAGGTAAGAGCATGGGATGAACCGGAAATAATACTTGGTTTAAGGCGTTTGCACGATTAGAAATCCTTACCTGAGACATGTAAACGGAGTCCTTTGTGTTAGAGGAAAACTGTCACAGCGGAAATGAAACTGCCACTGCTGACCTTTTACTTCTGAAAATGCAAGCTGTCTGGCTGTCATACTGATCTAATGGCTTTGTTACATCAATGGCCTGCAATACACAGATGGAATTATTTCTTGTAATTTCCTCCATTTTAAAATCCAGAAACTATTTGCATGACAGCCAGTTAGAATAGAATATTTAGCAGCCTTTGACAGGTGTACTCAACTTTTTTTTTTTTTTTTTTAAATATGGCTTGGTTCACACTAATGCGACATGATTCTGATCTAATCATGTAGTGTGAAGTGGCTCCACAGAATATGGAACCCAGTTGCATAGAGTAGCACAGGAACCATTTGTTCTGCAGTCACATTGATTAGACTGGGCACCATGGAAAATTGTGGGGGTTTTTTTTTTTTGTGTGGTTTTTTTGTTTGTTTTTGTTTGTTTTTTTTTTTTTTTTAACTTGTCATGCAACTCTAGTTGCATCAGAAATCACACCAGTACCAAATGTTACAATGGCAGTAGTTGGGTTGTGTCCACATGCTGGTACCCTGAATGTGGAGTAAAAGGGTGTGTGTGTGTGTGTGTGTGTGTGTGTGGGTTGTAGGTCTAAAACCTTAAACTTTGACCCCCCCCCCCCCCCCCCCCTTTCCAAACTAAGTGTACTATCTTCCATGTTGAATTCCCTGGGCTCCAGGGAACAATATAAAAATGTATAAAATCAACTACATTGCACATTAACTAGCCATCTTTTGGTCATAATGAGGGTTGAAGGTACCCTCACTTCTGGTCATAGTATTGATTAGTTGTATTGGCAACAGCTTCTTGTACAAAGGGTGCTGCTTAGGCGTTCAGCTGTATTGATACACCAGTAAGCTAGCTGTAACATTTTTACTGTCATTGATTCTGTAGCCCAACAATCTGCTCTCCCTTGCAGATCACACTACTGAAATACTTCAGGAACTACATGAGCGAGCACCTTCTGAAGGCCGGCGCCAACATCACTCCTCGGGAGGGTGACGAGCTGGCTCGCCTCCCCTTCCTGCGGACCTGGTTCAGGACACGAAGTGCAATCATCATCCTACATCTGAGCAATGGTACTGTTCAGATTAACTTCTTCCAGGTGAGGACTGTGCAGGATGCTGCACTGTTGGAAGTTAACAAAGAGCAATGGTTCTTTTCTGGTGCCTAAGGTTGCATATATTCAGATGCTCTGCATACCTGATATACAGTGAAGGAAATAAGTATTTGATCTCCTGCTGATTTTGAATGTTTGCCCACTCACCAAGAAATGATTAGTCTAAAAATCGAATGGTAGGTGTATTGTAACACTTGGAAGAGAATAGCAACAAAAAATTCAAAAGACATGCATGTCTAACAAATGATGCACTGATCTGCATGTTCATGAGAGAAATAAGTATTTGATCCCCTATCATTCAGTAGGATTTCTGGCTACCAGGTGTCTTTCATACAGGTAACAAGCTGAGATTAGAAGCAGTCTCTTAAAGGGAGTGCTGCTAATCTCCTTTTTTTTTTTTTTTTTTTTTTTTTTTTTTCTTTTTTTTTTTTTTTTTTAAACCTGTATAAAAGACAAGACAGGAGCAATCAAACAATCTGATTCCAAACTCTCCACCATGGCAAAGACCAAAGAGCTGTCCAAGGATGTCGGGGACAAGATTGTAGACCTACACAAGGCTGGACTGGGCTACCAAACTATCCCCAAGCTGCTTGGTGAGAAGGTGACAACAGTTGGTGTAATCATTCACAAATGGAAGAAACACAAAACAACTGTCAGTCTCCCTAGGTCTGGTGTACCATACAAGATCTCACCTCGTGGAGTTTCAGTGATCATAAGAACAGTGAGGAATCATCCCAGAACTACACGTGAGGATCTTGTCAATGATCTCCAGGCAGCTGGGACCACAGTCACCAAGAAAACAATGTGTAACACACTACGCCGACAAGGATTGAAATCCGGCAGTGTCCGCAAGGTCCCTCTGCTCAAGAAAGCACATGTCCAGGCCCGTCTGAAGTTTGCAACTGAACATCTGAATGATGCAGAGGACTGGTTGAAAATGTTGTGGTCAGATGAGACCAAAATCGAGCTCTTCGGCATCAACTCAACTTGTCGTGTTTGGAGGAGGAGGAATGCTGCCTATGATCCCCAAGAACACCATCCCTTTTGTCAAACAGGGTGGTGGAAACATTCTGCTTTTGGGGGTGTTTCACTGATGCGGTGCAGTTGTCCTGTCCCCTTAGCAAAGGGACGATGGACGGGGCAATGTACCATCAAATCTTAGGTGAGAACCTTCTTCCCTCAGCCAGGGCATTGAAAATGGGTCATGGATGGGTGTTCCAGCATGACAATGACCCAAACACAAGGCCAAGGCAACAAAGGAGTGGCTCAAGCACATTAAGGTCCTGGAGTAGCCTAGCCAGTCTCCAGACCTTAATCCAATTGAAAATCTGTGGAGGGAGCTGAACGTTCAAGTTGCCAAATGTCAGCCACCAAACCTTAATGACTTGGAGAGGATCTGCCAAAAGGAGTGGGCCAAAATCCCTCCTGAGATGTGTGCAAACCTGGTGGCCAACTACAGGAAACATCTGACCTCTGTGATTGCCAACAAGGGATTTGCCACTAAGTCCTGTTTTGTGAAGGGGATCAAATACATTTCCCTCATGAACATGCAAATCAGTCATCATTTGTTAGACATGCATTTCTTTTAAATGTTGTTGTTGCTACTGTCTATTACAATACACCTACCATTTGATTTTTAGACTGATCGTTTCTTTGATCCCCTGCTAATTTTGAATGTTTGCCCACTCAAATACTTATTTTCTTCACTATAATAGTAGTGAATTGCAGGTACTAAGTCTGATTTTAAATATAAAATCTTTTGATTGCAGTTTAAAATGTGCCTCCTTTTCTATAGGATCACACAAAGATCATCCTGTGTCCTCTTATGGCTGCTGTCTCCTATATTGATGAAAAACGGGAGTTCCACACATACAAGTTGAGCCTTATAGAAGAATTTGGCTGCTCGAAAGAGCTAGCTAGCCGCTTGCGGTATGCCCGTACCATGGTGGAGAAACTGCAAAGCTCAAAGTCTGGTGCAATACACATTAAGGCCGTGGCGTAGCTGGACTACAGAAATAAGGACACAGTCTCCTGAATGGGGAACTTTGTGCCAGCCTTGTTTGGATGCAGATGGTTTTTATGTCCTGAGCCGAGAAGTGGTGTTGAATGTGGTTGTGTAAGGTTCAAGATTCTACTGACCACTAAGTGCTGGTTGGGGCCCCTTTATACTAGAAAAGCTGGGTGGTATCATGATACCTCTTTGTCTTAAGAGCCTGTTATGTCTGTCACTTCTTAATGTTGTCAGGTTTTAATGTAAAATATCAGCTTTATAACTTTTGTATATTAATATCAGATTAAAGTTCTTTGTATATTAATTGACATGTTGATGGTTTAATTGTACCACTCTTTGGGATAGTCTTATTCTCTGCTGATTGGTAGCCAAAACTGCCCTTCTGTATCTCTAGTGTCTTTATTTGTGGAGCCCCAACTGCCTGCTACTGAGACCTGTCATGCCACCATTTTAAAGATTGACCTGAACAACCATTACAAGTGAGGACATGAAAAATGTCCTCCTAGGTCAACACTATCCTGTATAAATGAAAAATGATCCCCCTTCTGTCCTCTAGATACTGATTTAGGACTTGCAAGCACTTTTTTTTTTTTTTTTTTTTTTAGAACTATATTAAAGTAAACTTTTTCAGTTTTATATTCCAATAGTTTTTATTGAATAATTTGTTCAGATAAATAATACAAACTATCAATGTCTTGTCAAAACATGCAAATTATAGAACACAGCAAATGTTTTTGTAAGTAGTCATTTGAGGCAGGATAAATGTTGCAACAAAAATGGGGATTTGGTGTAACCCACCCAAGCAAACAAGAGAATGGAGAAAGTTAAGGAGAGGGTCAAGATGAGGGACATTAAGGCACAGAAATTTTATTTAATCCAGGAGTCCCATGTTTGTCAACTTGGTGGGGTGTGTGCTTTTTGTTTTTTTTTGTTTTTTTTTGTTTTTTTAATACAGATGAGCTTGTAGTGAAGAATAAATTAAAATTTGGTTATGATTAACATGGTCAAGCGGGATAACCGATTGGTTCCGTTGTGTAGCTACAGTAAAAAATCAAAGCAAATCATGGTTGGTGGGATGTGGTACATGGCTTCCTGAAAACATCAGCTCTCTGCCTCAGTACTACTCTTGGTAATGGTTTGGACTAGGTCACCTACAGACCATTTACCGTGATCTACCAGTGAGCCAAATTAATATAGAATTACGTGCACGTGGAAGCAAGACACTGTTGCAGTTTGCCAACTTCCTAAAATTGTTTTATTGAGGAACTAACAGTATAATTTATAGGGCTTATGATGCAGGCAAAGCATATACATTGGGTGAAAAGGCCACTGGGTTTCTGCGTGTTCTTCCATCTGTGATATCTTCCAATCATTGTCCCCAAAAAGACTCATTCCCTTTTTATGGGGGTTGTTTACATTAAAATATACTTTTCTCCTAATGAGTCACCAAGGGTGAGACTCCGGATGAAGGCTCCATCTTAATTATCATCATTATTCTGTCAACCTAGATCTGATTGTTTACTTAAGAGTAAGGAATTTAAAGAGCAAGAAGCAGAAAGTAGCATGACTATAAAATTGTCATTTTACTGATCATCTAATAAAATGTGGACTATCACAATCCACTACAGTAGCACTTGGCACTGACGCAAGCAGCTCTTGTGAGCAGATGTGCAGTTATCAAAATGCCTTGACAGGTGGATGTTCTAGCCAGGCTTCCTTCACACACAGACCACTATGGGTAATGCTCACATTTTGATGCTGATTGAAATCCGTGAATAAAATGGGCAGGTTGGGGACAGACCTCCTCTGGCTATGGTGTGGACAGTAGACTCAACCTTGGCAAGAGTAGGCAGAGGTTGTGGACAAGGAAGAGTGGTCAGGTCCAAGCAAAAGGTTAAGAGCAAGAAATGACCATGGTCAGATTTAAAGGGTGGTTGTAGGCAAGAATAGTCGGATCAATTTTAGGTCGGATATATACAAGCAGAATTTTAATAGCCACTTTGCAACAAAGCGTTCTAGCTACTAAAACACAGCACTAGTATATCCTAGGGCTGATCCTTAAATAGCCATCTGGGTCAGAGGACATGCCTAGCATTGTTTTCAGAGCATTGGAAGTCCTGGCAAGTATCCTGCAAGCGCCACTGGAAATACTTAGTAGGTTACTGTGAATGCCATTGGAATACTGGAAGTAATACTTTTGCTGGGACTCTACAAGTGCCATGGGAAATACTGGAAAAGTGCTAACTGGTTCTGGGAGGAGCACTGGAAGGGATTCTACAGGTAAGAGTTCTGCAAGCCCTACTGGGATTCTGAAAAGTGCTCTTGTAGAGGTCTCGATGGATATTGATGTACTTTAACAGCTACCTGCACTGACCAGGCATATATGATTACTGACATGGAGCTAGTCACCATGATGTGGGAACACTGACCACACTAGCTCACTGGCTAAGGCATAGATGAGACAGGAACAATGTGATTCATTTGTTTCCTGGGGGATGCTACAAGGATTTACAAATCTAGTACTATGTCTTAAGACCCATATAATGCAGGATATCTGTCTCTGTTGAGAGAAGGGGGGAAAAATAAAATCCGAGGTGCCTATATCTGGTCAGTCGGACCATCTCTCCCATGACTTTGCCACTGAGTGCTCTAGGTAAATTGTATGAGACCAAAGCTCGTGGTATTAAACATGCAAAAACAATTGCGCCACATAGTGTAAAAAACTGCAAGTTAATGTGCCATGCAACTAAATATCCTAACAAGATGCCTGCCATTACCGTTAGCATAAAAATATCTTCTGTGCTCCCCCTCTGATTTCAATGCATGAATTTTCTTGACATCGTGGCTAAACTCTGCCAGCTGCCATTTCATTGTTCAATCAGACTGCCCTCACTGAAACTGTCTCGATTAACCGTGGAATGGCAGGGAAGGTCAGGCCCCAGTTGTAAAGTGAATCAAAATCGGAGTGCCACAGAGTTTTGTTTGGGTAGTAGCTGGCATTTTGTGCTGTTTACGCTCAGGCAGAAAGTTTACATTTAAAAAGTATACAGGGGAACATTTATTGCATCGCTTTTTCGGGACCAGAAGAATGTCTCAGAACTTATGGAGCAGAAGGCCAGAGCTTGGCGTTGCTGTTGATCATCCCCTTGGTGAGATCTCATGTGGCTACATTTTCTGTGATCCAAAACACAATAGACTCTGATTAGTCAAAGTAAATTCCATTCATTGGACAATGTATTATCAAAGTGTCTCAGTAAGACCTGTTCCCTTTTACTAAGACAAACAAATTGGGTTCTCCCAAGAGATGGGATTCTCAGATCTTCATGTGTCTTCTAACCCCAAATATGGGCATATAATTCCTTGTCTTCTGGGGCTGTCACCAAATGGGTGCTTCCCACATGCCAGGATGTAATAAAATGCGCAGCCAGTGGAGAAAGTGCCCACCCCTGGCGTCTTGTATTTTTTCTTCCAGGACAGCCCGTTGAGACGTATAATTCCTCCCTCCAGGTTAGGAAACGCATAATTCCCACGCCTTAAAGGTGGACCTCCAGGCTTCCATCCTCAGTTTTTAGTGTTTCCTGATCTGGAGGAACACACATTCAGGAGCCTGAGGGGTTTCTGCACTCTTGGGGGGTCCTGGAAGAGTGTAAGCTCCTATGTTCAGCTTATCTCCTCTCAACGCGATCCCTCCATGGTGAGTGGAGTAGGGCTGCGGGTCAGAGAGCCTTAACCCGCGGTGGAGGGACCGCCGGTGAAAGATCACCCGCTGGAGGATCGGGGAGTGCCCGTCGGTGAGCCCGGTGCATCCGTTCTCCTGGGAGCCCACCCTTCCCCTTCTCCGGCATGGTTGTGCAGGGCGCCGGGCAGGAGGAGGGCCAGGCGTGACTTCCGGGGGGCGTGGATATGTGTTCCAAAAGCAGGAAGTCCGGCGCGGTGGAGATGCTGGTTCCGGTCTCCATTGAAGAATCGCAGGCATCCACATTGGGCGGTCGGTGTGGTGGTTTAAAGCCCAGCAGAGGCTGTGGACACGCCAGACAGGATGCCATGGAAGCTGGCTCTCATCACAGCAAGTGGATCCTGGTTCTGGCTCCTCTCAGGTAGGCATGGGGACTGTCCCTCTTGCTGACTCCTGGGGGGTGGGTGATTGTTTTCCCAGTCTCTGAGGATAAGTGACGGTGGGGCAAACTTCAGGTTCCCCCTTGCACAGGGGGTGTGTGGAGGGAGATTAGGGCTGAGGTACTACTTACTTTCTGTCTTTGTTTAGGTTAAGACCCAGGACAGGACCCAGAGTCAGACCCCAAAGAAGTGTGTGTGGTCAAATTGGGTTCTACTTGTGAAAAACCCTTATGTCGCAGCTGCATAGATAGCCTAGTTAAAGATGAGTCTTTCATGGCCTGTCCCAAGGTCCTCACCTCTATTAAGGATGACATGACAGCTACATTCCAGTCCTTCAGATCCCTGCTGGATAGGATGCAGACACCGCTGGGCCCTTGGACCCAGTCGGCCACTACGGCAGTATCAGCAAGGCAGGAGGACTCTCGGTCCTTTGCTTCCTCTCAGGCAGGTTCAGAGGCGGATGAGGAGGAAACTAGTGCATCCAGTAGTTCCAGGTACAAGTTAGCCCTGGAAGATGTGGATGACCTCCTGAAGGCTATCCACGAAACCTTAGAGATTGAAGAGGAGGAAGTTGGTTTATCTAAGCATGACCTCATGTATCAGGGGCTTCATGCCAAGAAGAGTAGGGACTTGCCAGTCCATAGCTCCCTGGTTGATACCATTAAGCAGGAGTGGGAAAACTGTGAAAGGAAGCCCTTTTTTCTTTTTCAGGTAGTTTAAAAAGATCTCCTTTTGACGAGGATGGGTCCCAACCT